TAGCGTACCCGTGTCTATTATCTTGGATCAAGGCAATCGATTTACATCACAATTTTTGAGAGCGATACCGCATGAGTTGGGCACACAAGTTAAGCTAAGTACGACATTTCATCCCTAGACAAACGGGCAATCCGAGTGTACCATTCAAATATTGGAGGACATGTTGAGAGCCTATGCCATTGATTTTGGGGCCTAGTGGGATCAGTGTTTGTTGTTAGCAGAGTTTGCCTATAACAACAGCTACCAGTCAAGTATCCAAATGGCTCCATATGAGGCCTTATATGGGAAGCGCTCTTGTTCTCCGATTGGGTTGGTTTGAGCCTGGGGAGGCTGGGTTGTTAGACACTGATTTGGTTCGTGATGCTTTGAAGAAGGTGAAATTGATTCAGGAGGAGATTCATACAGAACACTCGAAGCAAAAGAGCTATTCTAATAGGAATGCTTGTGATGTGGAATTCATGGTGGGTGAGAATTTTCTACTCAAAGTTTTGCCCATGAATGGTATGGGGAGGTTCAGGAAGAAGGGAAAGTTGATCCCTCGATATATTGGTCCTTTTGAGGTATTGGAGAGAGTTAGAGAGATGGCCTACAAACTTGCTTTGCCACCCAGTTTATCGGTAGTTTATCCAATGTTCCGTATTTCCATGGTTCATAATAGCTATGAGGACCCGTCACACATGTTGGATTTCAACTCAGTGAGTTGGATAAGAATTTGACTTATGATGAGGAACTAGTGGCCATTTTGGACAAGCAGGTTCGAAAGCTGAGGTCGAAGGATATTGCATCGGTGAAGGTTCAATGGAGAGATCAACTGGTTGAGGAGGTGACTTATGAGACCGAGCATGATATGCAAATAAGATACCCTCATTATTTTGATATCCCAGGTATGATTCTAGACCCATTCGAGGACGAACACTTATTTAAGAGGTGGAGAATATAACAATCCGATCGGTCCTTTTGTGTATTTGAGATCCATTACCCTATTTGACGCTCCTTATATGTGTATTTTTTGTTATGTGACTTAAGGGGATGGTTGTTTAATTTCAGGAATGTTTTGGATTGAAATGGAACATTTAGTTCCAAGGTTGGAAGCTTAAGTTATAAGAGTTGACGAGGTTTGACTTTTGTGTAAACGATCATGGAATGGTATTTTTATGGTTCCAATAGGGTCGTACGGTGTTTTTGGACTTTGGCATATGTCCAGATTTGGATTTGGAAGTTCCTAAGGTTGATTTGGCTCTAATTGGCGAAAGTTGTAAATTTGAAGGTTTAGAAGTTCATAGGATTGACTTGGAGTTGACTTTGAGGTTACCGAGGTCGGATTGTTGTTCCGGAAGTTGGAATAGGTTCATTATGTCATTTTGAACTTGTGTTAAAAATTTGGGATAATTCCGATTTAGCTAGATGTGGTTCAATATGTGTTTTGGAAGTTTCAAAGTCGATTAGTTCATTAGGATTGAATAGAGTTTCTATTCGTACTTTTGATGTTATTTTTTGTGATTTGAGACCTCAATAAGGTTTGTATTATGTTTTGGAACTGGTTAGTGTGATTGGACGGGATCCCGAGGGAGCGAGTGTGTTTCAGATGAGTTTCAAAATATTTTGGAACTAATTCGCAGTTCTGGTATGCTATTTTTGCACCTGTGAGGTATGGGGCGCAGGTGCGAGCCTGCAGATGTCAACAAGTTAGCACCGAAGTGAGGTTGCGGTTGGGGCATCAGAGGTTTGCAAATGCAAAGACTTATGGAGCATCTGCAAGATCGCAGATGCTGAGTTATTGGTGCAGAAGTGGAGCAGGCTGGCTTGAGGGAGAATTGTGCAGAAGCGGAATTTTCCTCGCACTTGAACTATTGTAGAAGCAGAGTATTATCCCCAGGTGCGAGAGGTTGGGATTTAAAGTGGTACTAGCAGATGCGAGGTTTTTGTCGCAAAACCGACGCCGCAGAAGCGAGAGATTTGATCACAAATGTGAAAGTGCCAGGTAGAATATATCATAAGTGAGAGTTTAGTTTCATTTCTCACATTTTGAGATTAGGAGCTTGGATTGAGAGATTTTTGAGGAGTTTATCACCCACTTGAATTGGATAAATATTTTTTACTCAGATTTGATTATTATTTGTGATTCCATCCTTGATTTGGTTTTTTCTTGGTGAATATAAGTGAGAAATTTGGGGATTTTGGCAAATGTAAAATAAGGATTTGAATCCCGATTCAGAGTCGAATTTAGATGAAACATGTATATTTGGACTCATATTCGATTGGGTGATTGGAATTTGTGACTTTTGTTGGATTCTAGGAGCGGGCCTATATTGACTTTTTGGTTGACTTTTTGATATTTGATAAATATTAGGGCTTTGTTAATTGAAATCAATTTCTATAGTTGTGTTTGTTGTTATTGCATTTTTAGCTAGATTTGACCTATTCGGAGGCTGATTTGAGAGGCAAGGGCTTTTTAGAGTATTAATTTGGCTTATTTGAGGTAGGTATTTTGCCTAAACTTGTGTGGGAGGAATATCCCTTAGAATTCGTCCTTAATTGTTTATTTGTGTTATATGAAAAGTGACGTGTACATAAGGTGACGAGCGTGTACACGGGTGCTATAAGGGGCTTATGACCGGATTAGACATTAGTATATTATTATGCCTTAATTTGTCCATTTACTTTATATGAAGCATGATTTATTCACTTTGTGACTACATCATCACAAATGCTACAATTGATTTAGCCATAGTCATGCTTTATACATTGAATACCCATCCACATTTTTATGTTATTGTCATGTCCTTGTGTACTTTGTGATAAGTTGTGAGCTTATATCTTTGATGAAACCTTGGTATTATTGTTTTGTGATAATTGTAGCATATATGGACATGTTGAGCGGATTGATTTGGGGGTGTCAGCTTGAGGTCTTTGGTGTGCGATTATGTCTATTGTTGTGCTCCTGGGGCGAAATAAAGGTGGCGTTATCTCGGGTTGCCCATGTGGTAAAATAAGGGTGGTGATATGCACATGTGGCGAAATAAGAAGGGCATTTTTATTATTATGTGCACATGCAACAAAAATAAGGGTGACATTATTGATGATGTTCTGTGATGATTTGGGGGTGTCTTTCTTGATGTTATTTATGTGTTGAAAAGGGGTTGATATTCAGATCATATGCGTGTTTTCTTAAAACTCTGTCTTGTATTTTAAATGAGTTGTTAGTTGAATTTGACATACTTTTATATGCCCATTTCTATTATATGATTTGTTAACCAAGGTGGATTCTTCTACATTGAGTTGTTATCATATGTTTTAACTAGATTTTTGGTACAATTTTTCCATTACATATTATATTGCCAGTTATTGATATATTGCACAGGTTTATTTGACTAGTAAGCATCATGTGACTTGAACCTCGTTACTATTTTATCGAGGTACTCTTGATACTTACTAGATACTTAATGTGGTGTACTCATACTACATTTTTGCATATTTTTGTGCAAATTTAGGTGTTGGTGGCAGCGGATCCTGAGAGTGAAAGCTAGCATTGTTCATGAGGATTCAAGGTAGAGCTGCATGTTGTTGCAATCCCTTGGAATCTCATCTCTCTTATTAATACTGCTATTTTTATATCAACAATATTGTATTTTGAGATATCCTTATGTGTTCAGTTAGAGCTGATAACTCTGTACTACCTAGTCCTTGGGAGATGTTTGAGTATTGCCATTTTGGCTGTTGTTAACTCTATTTCTGCTTTCATATTAAATTCTACTTTATTATATCGTGTTTTGTTGATTTCAATATTGTAAGTGATCGACTTACCTTTTTTAGAGACTATGTGTCATCATAACCCATATGGTGGGATTTGGGTCGTGATACACGTGAGTTTGAAGAATGCTTTTGCTTATTTGTAAAACACTTTAGCAGGGTGCTTTGTTTTTCTTTCTTCTTTGTGCTTGAGATGTGCAAAACTTTGAAAGTACATTAGGCTCCCTTTTATCAACAGGTTCCGCATCTAGTGACATATACCTTTATGTGAATATAATAATTTAATCTAAGTTTAAAGAAACTATAATGGATTCAGAACAACAGGATTTACCTTGCCCTTTTTTTCTTTCTTAAATGAAAATCAAAAACAACCTCACATATATCAACATGGTCACAAAAGCTCCTCACAAGCTGAAGCAGTGATGGACAAATGTTCGGGGGGTACATGAGAATGAGATTAGAAGGCATATGGGGCATTGACTGCACTATTAAAGGTATGAGACAACATGGTATTGACAAGGTTGTTGACTGAATGTTGGGACCCGATTAAGGTGACTTTCAACAACAACAACATATCTAGTAAAATACCACTAGTGGGGTCAGGGGACACTATAAGAAAAAGCCTTATTAGGGACCAGCATTTAGCGACAAGTTCTAAGTATGATCCTTAAAAGTGTACTTATAGGGATGAGAATTATTTTGGTCTTTAAAATGTAATTTTATCTTTTAAATACATGACCAGACTTATAGCCCGTTTGGCCAAGCTGCAAAAATCAGCTTATTTTGAGAAGTGCTTTTTTCAAAGGTGTTTTTCTCAAAAGTACTTTTGGTGAGAAGCAGTTTGTGTTTGGCTAATTAGTTTGAAATCACTTCTGAGCAGCAATTAGTGTTTGACCAAGCTTTAAAAAACTGCTTCTAAGTGTATTTTTCTCAAAAGTGCTTCTCAAAAAAGTGCTTTTGGAGAGAAGCTACTTTTTTCTGCTTCTCCAAAACTGCTTCTGCTTCTCCTCAAAAGCACTTTTTTTTCTTCCAAAAGCTTGGCCAAACACCTCAATTTTTGGCCAAAAGTGCTTTTGACAAAATAAAAAGCACTATTATCCAAAAAGAAACCTGGCCAAACAGGCTATTATTATGGTCTATACAAAAATTAATATCTGGTCTCTAATATCAATTTCAACGGGATAGGGGCGCGAAATTGACGAAAACTAAAGTTAAAAGAAAAAAGAAGTAAATCTCCAAAAATTTCATGTTAATCCCTCCAAATTATCTTTCACCCTAAAATCCCTCCAATACGCTAAAATCCTTAAGAGTTGGCCGCAAAACTTCATCAAAATACACAAGGTTGCAAAGAACTGAGAAGGTAGGTTAGTGTCTAAAATTCATCACTCTCTAAGAGACTTTACACAAATTTTACCATTGGATTATCCACCTAAAAAGGGGTAAGTTTAATTTCTGTCTCTTTAATCTATTCAGTTTCTTTTTTCTTCTTCATGCTTTTTTTTCCCGATTAAATCAGAAATCAAAAAAAGGGTTCTGCAATTTTTTGTTTCTTTAGTTGTTTTCTGCAATTGGCTATTTTGAATACTGATTTTTCTTCTGTGAGTGATAAAAGTAAGATTATTAGGTTTAAAATTGGGTGATCTTTGTTGTGTGAGGAGAAATTTGTACAAAAGAAGGGTTGTATGGTTGCTCGTAAAATCATCGGACATCAGAGAATGTCAAATACCCTAGAACTAAAATTTCATAAAAAATGGGTATTGGTTGCTCGTATTAGGACTACAATATGATATATAATTTGATTCATCATATCCCAACATTTAGTCATGGAATATATTCTACTTTTTTTGTATTTCAAGCAAATGGGGCTCAAATGTGAGTAATGATAAGGCAAAGAGAAACCAGCCACGCAAAGGCTGCAAACACCGGGTATACCGGCTTGCCATGCCAAGATACAGGTCAGTTAATCGCTCAATGCCCGAATTGGTTATCCCAGATATAGAAACACCATCCTCACTACCTCTTCATGTACTTTTCATCAACATGGAAAAAATAAAATACACATTTACACAAGTGTCTATCTTATTGAGTGTAAGTACCCCTATTCAATGACTCTTTCCCGACTTATGTAGCACTTATGAATAACTTCATATCTGAAAGCTAATTTTCATTAAGTTTCAGTTGAATTAATATCATTAAAGTTGGGCATTAGAAACCTTTAACTTCTTTAAGTGTCTATCTTGTGCAAACTAAAGTTTGTTAAACACTAGATAATTTAGCCTATCAAACCCATATAGATTACTATGACACTAGATTGTGCATGACCATTAGGATATTTTTTTAATTTGCATCATATTCTAATCAACAAGTTCTTAGTTAATGATATAATACATACTGGAGAGTAATTCATGTGCTTTAGCTCTCACACATTGTTACGTGCGATTTTGAGTCATAAAACTTGTATATTTGTTATAGGCTTATAGCTACCACCTAAATTAATTAGTACATCAAAAACTTTACTCGGGAGATGTTATCTTCTACTCATTTAATGTGCAATCATATATTTCTTTTTCTGGCTTATATTTGTGAATGGATATTTATAGACTTACTTGGAGACTTACTGCTTCCAACTTGTGTCCGTATGTTATGAGTGATTCTGGATATGTGTAATAGCTCTAATTGGCAAAAAGGATGACTGGCAGAAGAGAAGGAGCATTGAGGTTGATGGTATGCTGCACTTATGTTGTTTCTTATGCAAGAGCTTCTCAGATGTCTATAGCATTGAAGTCGCCTGTGTAATTTCAGCCTACCATATGGTTGGTACAAATTTGCATTGAATCAAGATGAAAATAAATATGGGGTACCCCAAGAATATTGACAGGTATTCAGATGTCTATAGTATTGCATGTTCTGCTGGCGTAGCTACTGCTGGTGCAACAATTGATGATGTAGCTACTGCTAGTGCTTGTTCTATGTTTTAAATTCATAAAATTGAAATAAAGATAAGGTATATACTAAACTTTGGTCAAATTAATTCAAGCCTCATTTTAGAACTATGTCGATCCTAAAACAATTGAGAAACATGTGTGTTTGGTTAATTGAACATGTTCTTTACTTTTAGTTATTATGGGATATGATAAAAATTTCTCTATATGCTTTGTAGGCTCAAATCCAGGAATTGGTGCAGTCTGAACCATCACTTCCTAGAATAGAGATTGTAGAAAAATATTTTGGACCTCAAAGTGATAGTCATGTATTTGGTTTTGGGGGTGGATTAAAGGCGAAAGATTTGACTGGTGGAACTGCCTCAAAAACCAAATTATTGGCTAAGCTACGTTCAACTGAAAATAAAAACCAGTCTTTAAAGGATCGTTTGTCTAACTTTGAAAATGAAATGAGAGAACTTAAGCAAATAAAAGAATTAGTATTAGTGTAACAAACTAATTTCCTACCTCCAGTTCAGGAGAATGATTATTCGGATCCTTGATGATACCAAGTGAGTAACAACTTACCTGAAACCTCAATTTATTTTGTTGATTTAAGTGTATTAAGTGTATGTTATTATATATCATTTGCAGAATTTCTTCTTCTATTAATTCTGAATTTGGTGGTCGATAACCCATACTGGTTGTTCAAAGTGACAATTGGGATGAAAAAACTTCTCTTAAGCTTTGTGATATGCTGAAAGAGCTTAGACCAGCTGACTCAGTGACTGCTTTGACAGTGCCCCCAAAACTCCATGGAGAGAGATGAGCTTAAATCAGCTCACTTGGTGGATTACGTGTTAACAAAGCCTCTTCGGCCAAGTGTGTTAATTTCATGCTTTCAAGAAACCCTTGGCTTCGGAAACAAGAGGCATATAAAAAGGGGGAAACTTCCAACTCGTGGAAGTCTGTTAAAGGGCATACATATCCTGGGGATAGATGATAATGTTGTAAACAGAAGAGTGGCAGAAGGTGCTCTCAAAAAGTATAGAGCTATATCAACCTGTGTGGATAGTAGGAAGGCTGCTTTGGCACTTTTCATGCCACCACATAAGTATGATACTTGCTTTATGGATCTCCAAATGCCATAAATGGAAGGGTAAATACTTAATTTGTTTCTTGATCATTCTTATCATCATATATAGTTGTTCTGTGTGCATATAAACTAATAAAATTAAAGGGATCAGGGTGGCTTTTTGTGGGCTAAAGAAAAAGCTAATGCTATATTCTTGAGAACACCTGCATTCTTATGAGTTGGGATATGAATTGCTTCAATGCCTTTGCTGTGTCCTATAATTGAGATAAAGAACTCAATGATTACCTCTGCTTGCCTTGGTGAACAAGTTTTGTTACTTGATTGTTGAATTTTATACTTGTCCTTTAGAACATTATCCCTCAGCTTATTGGTTTTGCCAATATTAGCAATAACAGCAGATATTATTCAAGCAACAGATGCAGAGTGCATGAAGTGTGGGATGGATTATTATGTGGCAAAATCATTTGAAGAAGGGCAACTTTATTCAGCAATCGCCCACTTCTTTGTGTGTGGTTGATTAGGAGGTGTTTCAAGTAACTATATAATACAGGTACTTGTTGAGGTTCCGCCTGATGGTTTAATTTAATTTGGTTGTGAAAAAATTCCTCAGTTGCCTGAATGTCCGATTAATACATTTCTACGTCGGCAGTGGATGGAGGACCTTGGCTGCTCAAATGACTGATAGTTGGTTCGTAATGTTGCTGCTGGATAATGTAGCAGATTCAGAGCAAATACATCTATAATGACTTATGTGGTAATTCCCTACCTATATATACCAGCTTCGGTTTCATACTTGATCTGTTTGACACATTGAGAACTTTCTTGTTTAATATTGGATGAACTCAAAATAGGAAATAAAGTCTACTACTGCAATAACATATAATAACATTTAGTTATTTCCATGCAATGATTCCTAAATTGCCAATAAACAATCAAGAGAATAGCTAGAGGATACACAAGTTTTACTTTTCCAGACTTTAGCTTACCATCAAAATATAAACATCAAGAACAAAAGTAAATGCCTACGAATATCCAAGTATATGAATATATATTCTAGGTTCTCTTCTCATAAGCAAGGATAGGAACAGGTGAATGGTAGTTCATCTGCTACTGTTGCTTTTTTATTTTGACATCTTTTATTCATTTTCTAAGCTAGAGCTACGTTGGGTCTATTTCTAGAGAGGTCTCTATCACCCAAATTATGCACTTTTATACCTACTAAACTTACTGTTCTTTTTGTCAATTCCCATACCTACTAGATCTATTGTTCTTCTCCTCTACCGTAATTTAGATATTAAAATAATACCACATGCTTCAGAATAATGAGTGCACATGATATCTTACGCGAATATCACATAGTATGCATGTTTTTCGCCTCGATAATGGCGTAGTTCACGGAGAAAATCAGTGAGATCTATTAGGCTTAAGCTGACAATATGTATCATGAACTTGGCTATGATAAAATTATGACAAACCAATCTAAGTTAATAAGATGAAAGGGAACAATGGTGTCTAGCCATTAACTTTCTGTTGCTTCTTTTTTCTTTGTTATTTTTATAATCTTCTGTCTACCCCTGATTTTGTTCCATCTACACTGTTATATATAGTTTTTCTAACTGAAATTTCTTATTTCTTCTACATGTTTTCAATATTGAAGTTTACTAGAAGCAAATTTTTGACGACATACAGATTAACCATCATTTTGCTAGGAATTTCAAGAAAATTTTACATTACAATCGCGGGATATTAGTGATATGTAGTTTTTTGCTAAATGTTTATGAACACAGTATGTTGACTAGCTTACATTATTGATGTACAGTGCAACTAACTGATGTTGATCATTTTTAAAATTCCAACTTTAATTACTTTATCTTATTTAAAATCCCACTTTTTATTTTTTTAAAAGAGAATCTCACTTTATTTAACTTTTCTTTAAAAAACAAACCACTATCTTTTCTTTTTCTTTTAAAAATGCTACTTTCAATTACTTTAAATTTTTTAAATTTTCAGATACCTTTATATTTATTTTTTAATTCCAACCTTCTTTTACTTTTAAATTTTTTAAAAATTTCCACAAAACTTTTTATTTTTTTAAATTTTCTACATTCTTTTACTTTTTTAAAAAAAAAAAAAAAGAGAATTTCACCTATTTTTACTTTTATATTTTTTTTTATTCAATACTTCCCTTTTTCTTATTTATAATTTTTTTAAATCATTCCCGAAATTATTATATATTTTTAAAAAAAATAAAAAAAAAATAAAAAAAAATTAAAATAAAATATTTTCGGATTTTTTATATATAAAAAAAACAAAAAATAAAACTATTAATAGTGATAATTCACCTTTTATTTTTTATTTTTTTGGTTTTGTTTTGTGTTGGACAAAAATGAAGAAGGGGTGTTGGGTTAATGGAGCGGACCGGGTCGACCCGGTTTGAAGTGGACCGGGTCATGGGGAAAGTTGGGCAATTATTTGGGCCTGTGGTTTGAAATTGAAGAAGTGGCCCAATCCGATTTTTCTTTGTATTTTTGTTCTCTTTTCTTCTTTTATTTTTCTAAAACTAAATTATAAAAGTACTTAAATTATTATTAAGAACTAAATTAAGTTATAAAAGCGCAAATTAACTTCCAATAACAATTAACGCACAATTAAGTAATAATTAAGCATAAAATTGTTCATTTGGACATTAAATGCTAAAAATGCAAAAGATGCCTATTTTTGTAAGTTTTAATTTTTGTAAACAAATTTAATTACTAACAATTGTAGAATTAAATCCTACATGCAAAAATGCGACATATTTTGTATTTTTTATTAATCAAATAAACATGCATAGACAAACATACAAATAGTTACACAAAATATCACAAAATATCACAAAAAATTGCACACCAAGAAAAATTATTTTATTTTTGAATTTTTTGGGAGTAATTCTCATATATGGCAAAAATCACGTGCTTACACACCCCAAGGTGATACACTGGGCCTAACAAACCCCTTCGCTAACAACTCATCAAGCTGCTCCTTCAACTCCTTCAACTCTTTAGGAGACATATGGTACGGTGGAATGGATATAGGTTGGGTGCATGGATCCAAATCAATACAGAAATCAATATCACGATCTGGTGGCATGCCAGGGAGATCAGAAGGAAACACATCAGCAAACTCTCGAACTACTAGAACCGAATCAATCGTCGAAGACTCTGCAGTGGTATCCCGAACATAAGCCAAATACACCAAACACCCCTTCTCAACCATTTGCCGAGCCTTCAGGAAAGAGATAACCCGACTAGACGTATCAACTGTGGAACCCTTCCACTCTAACCTCGGCAACCCTGGAATCGCTAGTGAAACAATCTTGGCATGGAAATCTTGGACGGCGTGATATGGAGATAACCAATCCATGCCCAAGATGACCTCAAAGTCTATCATATCAAGCAATAGGAGATCCGCTCTAGTATCGAAACCATAGAATGTGACCACACAGGACCGGTAGATCCAATCCACAACCACAGAATCGCCCACAGGAGTGGACACATGAACAGGAGTGCCCAAAGGCTCAGGAGAAATAACCAAGAAACGAGCAAACAGAGATGATACATATGAATAAGTAGACCCTGGATCAAATAATACCGAAGCATCTCTACCGCCGACAGAAATAATACCTGTGATGACGGCATCTGAGGCCAATGCATCTGGCCTGGCCGGAAGGGCGTAGAATCTGGCTGGAGCGTCGGCTGGCTGGCCTCCACCTGACTGAGCAGTAGCTGGCTGACCTCTCCCTGCCTGGCCTCCACCTCTAGGATGGCCCCTACCATTCTACCATCTACCTCTAGGTGGCGGGCAGCCGGTGCTGAAATCATAGGCTGCTGGCCCTGCTGCACTGCCTTGCCCTAAAACCTGGGGTAGTATCTCTTCATATGACCAAGGTCCCCTCACCCGAAACAACCCCGTGGTGTGATGGCCTACTGCCCTGATGGCTAACCCTGATGGCATGTAGACCTACTAGAAGAAGCCTGAATAGTCAGTGGACTGTATGAACTCTCCGGCATAGCACTGAAATAAGAATCAGAAGAACCCTGAGGACCTAAATATCCATCGGAGGAACCCTGAATAGCTGGTGAGCGATAAGAACTCTCTAGCATGGCGCTGAAATAGGGGCGCATTGGAGCACCCCGAGCATGTGATGGTGCTAAATATGGGGGCCTGCTAGGCTATCCCTTCGCAAACTGACCTCTGCCCCTAGTCGGGGCACCTCTGAACTCTCCGGAGAATCTAGCCCTCTTATCTTGCTGCATCTGCTCCCTACCCCTCAAACGGTTGCCCTCAAACCTCCGAGTAATCTCCACTACTAACTGATAAGGAGTCCTCATCTCCATCTCTCGGGCCATGTTGGCCTTGATGCTAGAATGCAACCCTGCAACAAACCTCCGTACCCTCTCTACATCAGTAGGAAGTATCATCAATGCATGGCGGGATAGCTCAAAAAACCTCACATCATAATCGGTCACAGTCATCTGACCCTGTTCAAGCTGCTCAAACTGATATCGCAGCGCTTCCCTCTCAGAGGGTGGAATATACCTGTCTAGAAACAACTGCGTGAACTAACTCCAAGTGATAGTAGGAAAACCTGCAGGTCTGCCCAGAACATAAGACTACCACCATCTGCGGGCCCTGCCCTCTAGCTGAAAAGTAGTGAAGTCAACCCCATGCGACTCAAATATCCTCATGTTGTGCAGTTTGTCCCTGCACCTATCAATGAAATCCTGGGCATCCTCATGACGCTCACCCCCGAAGATAAGAGAGTGAAGTCTAGTCCATCTATCCAATAATTTCTGCGGGTCGCCATCCATAGTTGGTCTGGGCTGGGGCACCACTGCAGCAATGGACTGAGCCCCATCTATGGGTAGTGCACCCGGAGTCTGATACACTACAGTTGCATGACCATGAGCCTGAGCAGTAGGGGTCTGGGCTCCCCCTCCTGCCTGTGATGTAGCTGGATCTACTGGAAATAAACCAGCCTGAGTCATGGTATTCATGAATCATAGCATACGACCCATGACCTTTTGGAATCCCGATGCTGTCATAAAGTCCGCTAGGGTAGGCTCAGCTGTGGGCACCTCACCTTACTCCTAGATGATAGGATCTCCCGCAGGATCTGCTGGTGGTGCTACTGGGATAGCTCTGGGATGCCCTCATCCCCTACCTCGGGCCGGTGCCCTCCCCCGGCCTCTGCCTCGGCCTCTAGCAATGGGGGGAGCAGCTCCTCCCAGGTTTGGGACATCAGTTGTCTGTGTCCTCACCATCTGTGAGAGAATAGAAGGGGGAAATTTAGTATATTAACCAGTGCACGATAGGAAATGAACAAAGAGTAGCTTTTCCTAACACCATATAGCCTCTCGAAAATAAATACAGACGTCTCCGTACCGTTCGCAAGACTCTATTAGGTTTGCCCATGACTTGTGAGACCTACGTGAACCTAGTGCTTTGATACCATGTTGTCACGATCCATTTCCATAATAGGTCGTGATGGTGCCCAACACCATTGTAAGGCAAGCCAACGCGGAAATACAATTAAGTTCTTATTTTTACATTTGCCAAAATAAGTGCAGCAATTTCTTAAGTTAAAGTTTAAACCAGAAACGATCAGTAATGTGCCAAGAAAATAGTTATACAATCCCAAAATAATATTCTACTAATGTGTATGCCAAGACCTGGTGTCACAAGTAGTGGGCAACTAGTAGAATGTAAAAAAGA